AGGAGATCTACCCTGTGTGCAGTGGTAATGTGGATGTGCAGAGCTGTTCGTACTCCTATGGAGGTGAAAGCCACTTTGTTAAACACAGAGACACAGGTCAGTCTCATGGCTGGCTGGGTTCTAAGGCCAGCCTGCTGGTACATTTCCCATCAAGTTCCAGTTCCCTTCCAACATCTTAACTCTGGAAAAGCCCACCACTTCTGACATCTCCTCTGGCATGGGAAAACTCACTGTTTCTTTAGCTGGGCAGCAGATTTAAGTTGTGGGCTTGTGTTTAGTGATCAAATAGCACCAACATTTTGTACCATTCAAAGCAAGAGTCTTGCTCAGGGGGCTGAAGAGCTCTGGCTAGGAGAGACAAGCAGGGTGACACACTCTGTTGCATTGGGTGTTTCAGACAACGTCCGTGTCTTGCCCACTTGCCATTCTGTAGCTGACCCGAAGCACCTGTGGCTCTTTGCTAAGGGCAGCCCGGAAGTACTTGGGAGTAGGCATTCCAGGGAGCAGCCTCAACCAACGATTGGTGGGAGTGGTGGAAACATATTTTCTCTTCCTCACTCCGTGGGTGGGCCCACTCCAAGATGTGTTACACATCTCCCAGGTCCTCAGCTGGTTGTGCCCCTGGCAATGACCTGTTCATGAACACCCCCTCTTCTGTCTTCTCTTCCTGCCCTGTCTCACTTCCTTACACTCCCGCTGCTGCTCTCTGTGTTTGTCTCCCAAATAAACTACTTCCACTTGCATCCTTGTCTTAGATCTGCTTCTGGGCCAACCTAAAATAAGACACAGACATCCAGCTCTGAGAGCAACAGGAGGCAGGATATCACATAGCATTTACTGTGTTATCCGTCATGCTTGCTTCTTCTTGGTGCGCAGGTCACATTAAGGTTTTCTGCTTTCAGTGGCTCCCACCATCCAAAGTGTGCCCATGTCAAGTGGGCTCCACTTGACTTTCCCTTCTGTGACAGCTGCTATTCATAAATTACTGAATTCCCTGTACCAGTTGTGGGCCATTGTTCTCATCACCCTGGAAGCCAAAGTTAATTGTCTCAGTGATGGGACTCGGCCTTCTTTGATTAAAGGGATCTGAGAAGCCTCTTTGCTTTAGGAAACAGGTTTTCTGCTTCTCTTACAAGTGTTCATCTCTGGGTTGTGCTTCCTTTCGTTTTTAAGTTGTTTTTGGTATTTTATTAGGAAAATAGTGAAGCATAATCATTGAAAGGATTGTATAGTGAACATTGGCTCGCCTGTTAGAATCTACAGCTGATAGTTTACTTCAGTTAGTTTTGTAGTTGTTTTAATGTCGGTCCTCTGGCTGTTCCTTGGATGGTCTTTGCTCCGTGTGGCTGGTTTTGGGGCAAAAGCAGGCGATCAAGAGCCACACTTTAAACCACACTAGTCCTTTGGGGGCAGGAAGACACTTCC